AAATATAACCTTTATATATTCTTATTCCCTTTATCTATGAGGTGCCTTTCTGTGGGGTGAGGCAATTTGATTTTCTCACTTCTTGAAATGATGATAAAACTGATAGCATCCACCTTTCCAGGGGAGTGAGTGGAGAGCAAGAATTCAGATGGACTGAGATATTCCAGGGGCTGGCAGAGTTTGCAGTGTTGCTGCTGGGAAAGCAGACTCTGTTTGATCTCTATTTGATCTTGGCTCCTCTGAGACCTGACAGATTTGTAAGTCATAGCCTTTAGCTGCTGCTTTGATTGTGAGGGCAAAGTGCTGGAACGAGGTTTTGTTCTCAAAACGGAGAGAAAGGAGCAAGAATGAAAAAGTGTGTGTAAGGAGGCAGGGGAAAAACCAAGGCCAAGTGTAATTCCAGCCAGCAGGAAGGATATAACTGGAAACTTGTGCTACTAGCAAAGTCGAAAAATGAAAAATAAAAAGTAAAAAGGAACATTTGCTTGGGCCATGTTGTTGTGAGGTCATAGGCTTTTCAGTCTCTGTTCAAACTGGGGAGTTTTGATCCAAAATGACCAGAACACAAATCTTGAGGTAGTGGGGGGAGCTGTGGGGTTTGCCTGGAGCAATAGGGAGGAATCTTCCTGCTCACCTTAAGAGCAGGCTCAGCATCCACTGAGGCTTGGAGCCTCCATCTGGGAAGCCCCATGGATTTGGATTCATTGCTGTGCAAACACGAGCCCTGTCTTGGAAAAGTGCTGGCCAAATCTGTCCCTTCATGCCACCTAGAATATGGCACTCAGGGTTCCCTTACTGGTTTTTTTTGGCATTTGGACTTCTAAAAATCCCTCAGTCCCACTGTGGGCATAGTCACTAGCAGTGCAATTACTGTGGAAAAAATCTCTTGCTGCTGTTTGTTCCCCCTGTTCCTCCACAGGGTTTTTGTCAGGTCGCCTTCCCTTTGCTCTCTGTTTCCTCCAAAGGGAGCTCTTGAGCACCTTGAGACAGTTAAATGTAGAAAACCAAGTGTTGTGTAGGCAGTTGAATTCACCCAGCCTGTGTTTCCCCACCAACTGATGTGTCTTACAGTTCAACTGCTTACAGTTGAGCTATAAGAACTAGAATTCCTAAGATCATTGCACACATGCTTTTGTAATGTTTAGGTAACAAGAATTACCTCAGAATGTTAATGCAACATTAAACATCTATAGAAATACAAGCTTATAGTGTAACTGTAACTCACACTGTGCATCGCATACCTCTAATGTGCTTTTACAACTACCAAAAAGTGTGGTTTTAATCTATAGTTAGTATTGAGTTAGTATCCCAAGTAAAATAACAAGAATTCCCTGCAGTTTGGGGCAATTAACCATACTAACACCCCACATAACAATGATATAACAAAAGATAAAAAGAAGTACACAATCACTCCAACACAAATTTACTTCTCAGTGTCAGGATAGTGGAGCCTTTTGAAGACCTAGTTCTATTATTTCTGCATCTGTTTAGGCACCTAGAGTACCTGCAGCTCACACTTTAGCCCAATTTAACCACATTCCTGCTGGACAAGGGGTGGGATGTCTGTGGTCAGCCTGGAGCCACATGGTTTGGATTGGCTTGGTAGGCTCAGGCTGTGGATGTTGGTGAGGTTTTTCCAGCATTTCTATCTGTTGGAAACTAACTCAGGGTGGGATTTTTTTTTTCCTGTTCAATTGATAATGTTCATTAAACTTTTATGAGCCTGAAAAGCAGAAGCAAACTGTTCAAAGTTAAACACAGGGAATGGTGAAGGAGCCCAAAATGCTGGAAGTGCCTGCAGGAAGATCTCACTTCCAAGACAACTCTGAGATTTATGGTTGGATTTGATAATCTTAAAGGTGTTTTAAAACCAAAATGATTCTACAGTTCCACTCACTCAAAAGCTTACTGGATTCTAAGAGAAAGCTTTGAAAATACCCAGTTTTACTCTGGTGGCTCTTGGCAGCCTTGGAGTGGAGGTGAGGAGACAGAAGTAGAGTTTGGTGCCAGGTTCTTGTTCTTCCTTGTCTTGTTTCCTGCCTGGAACGTGGACATGGTGTTGTCCACCCTGAAACTCTGAATTTATCAGTGAGAGCTCTTGAAATTGCTGTAATTCTTGTGGGAATCAAGGCTTTTCTCACAATTTCAGTTGGTGCACCAGGGCAATTATGTGACAGCATCAAGGGGTTTTGAGGAGAGAATCCTGCTGACAGGAAAACAATCTGAAAATTTGAATGCTAGAAGCAGTAAAAAGGCAAACTCACTATTTTGGTTGCAAAAAAACCCAGATTTGTGCAGTCAATCTCCAGACTCTTTTGGGACTTGTAGTAATGTGGTTCTATATTTCCTCAAGCAGTCAAAATCCTTCATTTTGCCTGTGTCTGCATTCCACTTGAAATAGTGTTTTATTAGTAGGAGTCTTACACTGTTTTGTGTAGTTCCTAAAATACTGTTACTTGTCTCTTTTTTTTTAATTTCTTGACTTTGGAAGTGGCCAGTTGCTTTGCTTAAAATACCTGTACAGTGTCTGAATTGGAATAACTGTTGGTGCTGAGCAGGCTGTGAAAGCACACAAGTTGAAACATTTCTCATAACGTTGGCTTTTTCCAAAATGATTACACAATTCCAGGAAATTAAATCTAGCGTTTCTTTACTGAAAATAACTGGGTATAAATAATGGAAAACAAAGAGGAGGGGAAGTAGATGGGGAAGAAAAGTTGGGATGGGGAAGGAGCACACAGAGAAAAGATTATGTCCTACCCTGGAATTTCAGAGGACACACTGACCCTGGTCAGTATTAGTAATATATCTAAGCCCTGAGCTCTGTAGGCGTAGGGCACGACCTGAGTCAGTAATTCAGGAAGTCCTTGTGTTTCCCTCTGTGTTTTTTCCAGCAGACCTTAAAAACTTCCAGATTGGATTCTCAGCAAAGCTTCCATGTGATGCAGAAGCTTGTCTGACACCAGCCTGGGCTTGGGGCACACGTCCCTGCCTGGGTGCTGGTGGCCACTGCTGCACAGAGAGGCTGGAGCTGCAGTCAGGACTGTCACATTTACACTCTGTCCTCTGCTTATTCCAGCTGCAGCAGAGATTTGTGGAAATGAGTGATATCCTGTGTAGGAAAGCTATTGCTTTCTGATCTTTGAAGTGGTGATAGCTGATAATATGAGTATGAACTGATTATTGCTATGTTAAGCTTAAAACTTAAGGTGTAAGGGTCTCCTGTTTATTTCTTTATTTCACTTCATTCTTTTTTGTTTTATTTCTTTATATCCTAGGAACACCTTTATTCTTTTCTATCCTAGGAACACCTGAGACCTGCATAGAGTTTCAGATCCCTCTCTTAGTTGTCAAACAGGCACAGAGGAAAAACTTTTGAGAGCACAGCTCAGTGTCCTGGCAGGTCACAGAGTGTTAGTGACGTAATCCAAACTGCATTTTGGTGCCACTCTAGTGGTTATTACAAAACACTAGAAATAATCTGGGAAATTCAGAATCTGGCTGTTACTGATTACCAAGTGTGTTTGCATCACTTCTCAGCTGTTACAAGGCTTAGATTTCGTCTTCAAGTTTTGTTAAAAGCTTTATTGCAGAAAAGAAGTACTGGGAAAGGTCATCTTGCCTAATCAAAGTATGGTTTGGTGGGAGGGAACCTTAAAGAGGATCCAGTTCCACCCCTCTGCCATTGGCAAGGACATTTTTCACTAGACCAGGTGCTAGAACTTCCAGCAAGAGGCACTTTGTAAATGCATTGTCTGGTTGTAAATGCATGAGGTTTGCAAGAAACAATTCTTCCATTACGTGTTTTCAATAATTCTATGTCAAATACTCTTGCTAACCCTTAGTAGGCTTTTAGTATGCACATAGATGTTTTTAATACCTCCAGCATTCAGAAGGATTTTTAATGATTTGTTCAATAATTGATGGAGCTTTGGCATAATTTAGGCTTTTGTGAGGGAGAGCAGGCAGATGAGTAGAATATATTTAGTTGTTTAGTTTAACCATCCCTATATGTGAATTCTTTAGGTGAAAAGCAGAACAAAGGAAAGGAGCAAGTGAGAGAACAACTTGGAGAAAATTATTCCCTGAACTGAAAACTGGAGAAAGCTTTAATTAACTTATTAATTCATTGCTTAAGTGTCTGCAAAGAGCAGTAAACAGTCATTGCCTTCCAGAATTGTGTGTGGAATTTATATGGACCTTTTGTCCATATAAATGTCCATATATGGTCCATTTATATGGACCTTTATATTTACATCTATTTCCCTGTTAGCCAAGAAATTCAGTTTCTCAGCTCATTTTCCTCAATCTTGGTGAGATAAAGCAGAAAACAGGAGCTGTCCTCGTCTTGTCTTCTTTTAAATACAAAAATCCTTTTTAATCTTTGATCTTAAATCCATATCTGTAGACACCAGTCTACTTTGACAGGTAGTAAGAAGTACCCTTTAATGAGGAAAACCACACTGAAAGTGTTTGGATTTTGTCAGCAGTTATATAAAACTGCTGGGCTCTTTCTGATATAAATAGGAATTTACTTAACCTGAAGTCCTAGGTTTTAACTGGAAATCGGTTCTGTTGTTCACTTACTTCAAAAAAAACCAAGCCAAAGCCCCCTCAACTCCAAGCCTTTGCTAGTGTACAAGTTGCTGCAAGGGTTAGGAACTGAATATAATTTCAGAGAAAAAAGGTGTTTGGAAAAAATATAGTATTTTTTACATTCAGAATACCATATAAAAATGGTATTTAGTATCTAAAAATGTATATAAAAATGTAAGAAAAAGTATTGGGTACTTCTGAACTAGAAACAAACAGCTGCAGCTTGGGGTTTTCCATTAAAAACAAACAAAAGAAATCCTGTTGTATGTGCTTACCCAACCTTGTAATAGCATGTTATGATACACTGCTTTTCCTGATCACAGCAAAGGTGTTTATGTAGAAAAATGATTTGATTGCAATATTTTTGTGTGAAATAGACATCTTTTTTTTTTTTTGTCCACCAGGCAATCAGCTCAAAAGGCCACCACAGTGTCTCTTACACATTATCCAGAACCCAGACAGTCATAGTGGAATATATTCATGACAGAGAAACAGACATGTTTCAGGTAAGGCTCTAAAATACTTGGATTGCTTTTTAAAAGCAGCATAAGAAAACCCCAGTTCTGCCTTATCCTTTGTGTGTTTTCTGTGACCTGTGGGGTTTCTGCAGTCTGACCCAGCTGTATTAATTTGGGAGCACTTTGAAATTTTGCATTATTCTGCTGTTTGCAAACCCACACCAGCACCTGTTAATGCTCTTACTGACTTACTCCTTTAATTGTACTCTGCCTTTTCTCCAAAGACAATTCTGGAGAGAAATGTGTGCTGTGTTTGAATTTATGAATGTGCACAGAATTACACCCACCACCCTCCAGATAATAATGTAGCTGGAGTAAAAAGAAAGTGGAGGGAGTAGGACGTGAGATGGAGAAGGAGGAAAGTAAAAGGAGCTGGGCAGTAGGGGAGACAAACCAGATAAATTATATTTATCATTCCAGCTCATTATGATGAGTTCCTGAGGGGTGTGCAGATCTCTCAGCACACACAGGTGGTGTGGGCTGAATTTCTCTAAGCTCCCATCCAGTGTCCAACACGTGCTCAGTGTCCCCTGTCTGCATTTGTGTTTTTCTGCCTCATTTTGGTAACCTGAATGATTTTCTTGTGCTGGGGTTATATTTATGTATAATAAGAGAGAGCAAAAGTTCTGTTTATACTTAGACTTGAAACTTGGGGAACCCAGATATGCCAAACAACCTTTTTGTTCTAGACTGGTCAGGTCTGTGTTATTTAGAGCATCTCACCAGGAATTGTTATCCCTCCTCATTCAGCCTTTCATATTTAAAAGGGTCAGCAGTTGAGTGCTGTTGACAGAGAGGAAATAACTCTTTGGAGGTGTTGTTGCTTCTCTTGACTTGTGTGTTTTGCTCTATATTAAATTTTCCAGTGTGACCGAAACTATTAGGTCCAAATAGAAATTGATTAAAACCCAGTCTCACTCATTTGCTGCAGAATGAAGGATTGAACAGCCAGGATGAACTGAAAAAGGTTTTTCTGTGTTGTCTAGTGAAAGAAAAATGTAACCCATCCTTTGGGGTTACAGTGTGATGCTTGTTCAGCTCTTGGGTAGCTACAGTACTATTTTTTCTTGTATATAAATTTTGAAAAACCATTTTTGAAAGCTGGATTTTTCCTCTTCTTGAGTGCAGTATAAAATTAATAAAGAGTTGCAGAACAGCTGCTTTTTCTGGGCATACTGCATAGTCATCTATTGCATAATGTCCTAGTGGTGGGTACAGCTTTTTTTGGGGGGGAATAAGACACCATTTCAGTCTTGAGGTGTGTGGGGGGTCCTGCTGTGATTTGATCTCAGTGAGTGCTGTGTCCTGGTTCAGGTTTCTGCTCTCTGCCTCTTTCCTGAGGATTGCACTCCATGCACTGGCTGCAGGGGCTGACACAGGAGTGATCTGCTGGACTGTGGCAATAATTCCCCACTGAAGCAGTGCCAGAGCAGCTGAAGAGGTTTCCATTATTCATATGAGCCATTAGATTTGAGCTGTTCTCATGAACCTGTTGGGGAAAAGTTACTTGAGGATGTTTAGTGCAACCCTGTGGTACATGATGACAAAATTCATGTCTGTTGATCCACAGAGTTTCACTGTTGGCCAGGCATCACTTGGACAGACAATCCTTGGAGTTTGATGTTTTCTTTTAAAATGTGTGTTCTTGGTTTGTGTAGGATGTGGAAGTTGAAAAGGGGAGGATAATTCCTGGACCACAGGATTATCCTGAGCCTTCAGGCCCCACTTTGACTGCAGTTAACATGTATTATCCTGGGCTTTTTTGTTCTTTATTCCCACTGTGCTTCTTGAGCTGTTGTTCTGCTGTGTTGTTTGTAGTTTCAGTTTTTGGGGTTTTTTTTAACGTGGCTATTATGAAATCTGTGTGCAAATGCTGCTATGCACCTTTGTCTTAGTGACATCCAGGTCAGATTTCTTCATTTAATTACAAAAAGAATGTACAAATGCGTTCCTCTGGCATCTCCCAGACTCTATGTGGTCCAGCATCCATGTGCTGCTATAAATGAAGATTTTCTTCAGAGTTTAACCATTCTGTTGATGATGCATTAGATGAAGTTGAACTTGTTCTTTCATGGTTTGATGGGGTGAAAATGGGTTGATTTTTATCTGCCCGTATCCCTACAAAACCTGAAGTGTGCAGCTCCTACCATAAATAACCACAAGTTTATACAAGAAGCAGGTACATTCAATACAAAACATTGATTTTTTTCCCTGAAAAACGACCCTTCAGAAGATTCAGAATCCAATTCTCACTCTCACCAGAGTGAAATTCTGTCGAAGCCCAAGAACCTGCAGCTGTTAAATTCTGTGCTGGCAGAGTTTTTGTCAGGGGCAGTGTTTTACTGACAGCAGCAAAGGCAGGCACTGCCTGCCTCTCACCCAGCTTTAACAATCACCTGCACAGGACACAGCTCCTGCTGCCTCTGCAGCACCTGGCACATTTATGGGTTCTTGTTGGAAGTCACTCAGGGAAAGCAGGTGACACAGTTAACAAGAAGGCTCCCAAAACACAGCCTGAAGTTGCTAGAAAGAAGAAAGTCTTCTGTGCTGTACAGGACAATGGGAGAAAAATGAGTAATGAAGTGTGCAAAGAGCAGCTCTGAATTATGGCCTGGGTCTGTAGTGACTCTGGTCTGGCTGCAGCAGAGGTAAAAGTTCTGCAGGGTGGATGTTGATAGCATCACGTTTTTCCATTTATTCCTTAGGCCCTTGCTTTTCAGGTGATCTGGAACCCAAATTCATGATGTAATACAGAGTTTGATTGTTCGTGCAATCTGAGAAAATTGCCAGATTTTAAAGGCCACTTTTTCAAATAAATTCAAATGCTGAAAAGTAGCACAATACACGAGACTGATCCTCTAGAAGGCTTTCTCAACTGGAAAAGGAAGGAAAAACAAATATTTAAAATATTTGATTTTGCACTGAAGGAAGGAAAACCAAATATTTAAAATATTTGATTTTGCACTGACATCCTTGTGACACAAATGAGAAGTACTGAAGTGTTTAGATAAAATGCTACATATGATTGCAGAGATTTTAAAAAAGCACACAGATGCATTGTTTATAGATCTTAATGGTTATATCTAACGAAATTGGAATTTCATGGTGAGTGATTACTGTGATGTAAGGCTGGGAGCACACACTTGTGTGCTTTGTCATCCTTTAAGGAAAAATGAGGCAGATTTTTCTCTAATTGCATCTAAAAGCTTTGAGAGAATGATCTATTTTAGAGACTGCAAGAGGAAGAAACTTGTTATGAACAAATTAATTTCATATTTGTTATTGATTATCCTTTAAGAGACTCCATGTACAGATGGAGAATAGTCAAAATTTATTCATGAGGTTCCTGCTGCTGCTCAGTGCTGACTCTTAGCAGGAATTGCTTTGAATGGGAAATAGAAGCCTGGTAGAAATAATACTGTAAAAGGAAGAATATTGCTTTGTAAGATTTAGCTTCAAGTTGTCAAGTTCTATAAATCAGGAATATCCCATATTAAATAGTTTCTAAACTCTCTCTCTCCTGGGTGTTCTAGTAGACACTTTCTGTGAGAAATTGAAATGTGGACTTTTGATTAGGCGTTGTTGAGTATTTCCTGTGCAGGAAGCTGATCCCAATTTGTGCTTGTGCTGTGGAGACAGGAACTGGATGTGCCACTGAGCCAGGAATTCTGACACGTGTTAGACTGCAACCCTGCAAACAGAGCTTGGAGCAGAGAAGCACAGGAAAGATCCCTGCACTGTTTCTGTCAATCCACTTGTGGCAAGGTTTAGATGTGGATAATACGAATTTCCTTGACTCTTGAACAATGTTTCTTTAAAGCAGGTTTACTTTGCAGAGATGTTTGTTAATGATGGAAACGTACATGGCTCCCCATAGCTGGCTTTAAAGAGCAAGATCTGAGCAGAATGGAACTTCTTGGGGAACACTGAGATCATGTTTAGTGAGGAGGTTATTTAATATCAATGTAGATACCTGATACTGAAGGTAGTTCCATGTGAAGAGTATTCCTAATTCTGTTTGATCACAAGGTGTCTGTAAAATTAATATTCTGTTCCACTTCTTGTTCCTCAGCTCCACTTTCCCAGTTAAGCTCAAAGTTGGTGTAACACTAATTTGCCTGTAGAAATATTGATAAAGCCTCTCTGTCTGGCAGTCAGATCCTTCCATCCATGTAGTCATGAAGTTTTCTTTCCCAGATATTTCCAGATTTAGAATTTAAATTTTTAGCTGACCACATAGAAAAATTTTCCTGTCTGCTGATAAGTATCTTTCATTTCTGCTCAAATCAAGAAAGTTTTTTCGTTCTGTTAGTCATGCATGTGCATGATTAGGAATAAATTTTAACATAAGGGTGGGTTTTGCCTGACAAATCTATTTTCTGGGACTGCAAATCCTGAAAACATGAAGGTGGATAGCTCTTTATGACATATCAAAATAACCAAATTTAGGGTCTAAAAAACGTCCTTTATTTTCATGGCAAATGTATTTGGAACTGGAAAATGTGAATAAAACTTCTCAGTCCAAGCTAGTGCTTTCTTGCCTTACAGAATACAGTGGTAAGTAATTTGTTGTGGTTGGATGAGGAAATGGAAAGGTGATAATGCTTCTTTGGTGACAGTACTCTTATCAAACAGATCAGCTGTGTTGATCTGTTTCAAGCAAGCATGAACATCATTTGTGGTAAGTGAAAATTTGTCATTCCATGTCTGTGTTGTATTTCTGCCTGGCACAAATGTGGAAATACAGATCAATCTCTGGTTGGATCTTGTCATCCAAAAATTCAGTAGATAGTTTACTGATGTCATCAGCTAAGTATTAACCTGGCAAAACTGTGTCCTGTATGCTTTATATTTCAGTGGGTATTTCTATTTATACCATTATCTTAATTTTTTTTTTGCAGGTTGGGAGATCTACAGAAAGTCCCATAGACTTTGTAGTAACAGACACTATTTCAGGAAATCAAAATACTGATGAAACCCAGATTACCCAGAGCACCATCTCCCGATTTGCCTGCAGGATTGTTTGTGACAGGATCCCACCATACACAGCAAGGATCTTTGCAGCTGGCTTTGACTCATCTAAAAATATATTTCTTGGTGTAAGTACTGCTAATAATGATATATTCTGTTACTTTCAAGCTCCCAAATCTCCTTGTACTGGTTGATAACTTGTACTGCCATTAGACTTTTATTACTCCAGTGCACCAGCTGCAGTGTTAAATAGAAACTGCAGTTTTATGTGCCTGAGTTATCACCAGCAGAGACTCGTGGTCATAATTGTCTTTAACAATGAAGCTGCACTTCAGGAACTGTTAGATGATTTTCTTTAGGTCGGTTTGATGTATTTCTGATAGTGACTGTGACTGTCACACGTAGGAAAAAGCAGCCAAATGGAAAAACCCTGATGGCCACATGGATGGATTGACAACCAACGGGGTGCTGGTGATGCACCCCAAGGGTGGCTTCACGGAGGAGTCCAAGCCCGGGGTGTGGCGGGAGATCTCGGTCTGTGGGAACGTCTACACGCTCCGGGAGACCAGGTCTGCCCAGCACAGGGGCAAACTGGTGAGTGCCAAGTTGTTAGTTTTATTATTTGTTTTAATTGAGGTTGGGATTGAAGGTACTCGAGATGAAAATTCGTGTTCGGACTCAGGCGTTTATTATTTTTTATCAATGCTACAGTCTTACAGCATTTTCACTAATAAGGCACAGAAATGGTTAACTGTCTTTTGTTACAAGGTCTTTTAAGGCTAAACTGTCTAATTTAAGAAATGACACCTAAATTATTTTCACTTTTCACCCAATAACTAATCTCTCAAAGTCCGTACTGTGGACTTTTCTGTCCAACTATAAAATATTACCCAAACCCATAGAGAAGAAGGAAGAAGGTGGTAAAGAAGAACAACCTGCTTCTGCCCTAAAACTTCTATCTTGCTTCATATATATTACTATATTCTAAAACCCCAAACTCTTTAAGTTTTCCACCCTGTGATATTACACACTTCTAACCAACTACACACCAGTAATCTTAGTGCTATCAATCAATTTTGGAAGCCTGCTCCACGGCTCCAGGTCAAATGTAGTGTTCTCCAGGAAGTCAGAGTCTGTTTGTACAGAAAGTCTAAAAAATTTTCAACATACAGAACTCCAACAGGAAGTGACTGAGGTTAATCAAGGGGTACTGTAGATGTGACAGTCTGGTCAGAGAGAGAGAAAACGAGATAAGCTTTGCCATGAATCAGTCTGGGAAGTTTCAGCGAGCTGGAGACAAAGGATGATAATGAAATGGAAAAAAATCCACAGGTTGTTTACAAATGGGTGTCTTCTTAATTAGCCAATGGTGATGGTGTTTTGATTAAAGGACCAATCAGGTTCACCTGTAGTGAACTAGAGTATAAAAAGGAATGGGTTACTAAAATAATTATTAGCCTTCTGGAAATGCATGGAGTGTGTCACCCTTTATCCATGTCACTTCTGACTCAACGGTGACAGGGTACTTGTTTTCCTGGCTTTGAATGCAGGCAGGTACAGGGTGGTTGTCCCCGAGTAGTGGCACTGTAAATGTGTGTGTTACAGCATATTTTGCACTGCTGTTCTGTTCCTGAGTGTATGGGAGAACACTCAGAACTTTCTGCTAATGCCACTTTTCCAGCTGAAATAGCACAGAGAGTAAAAGCTAAATAAACTCTGCTCTGGAATGTTCTCCTGGGACATGGGGATGTCTGGAAGTTGCTGCATGGGGAGCTCTCTTGTGCAGTACTGCCAGAAGAGTCCACTTTTGTGCAAAAGCAGTTTGAGTAAGGCAGCTTCTGTTTGATTTACCTGCCACTGGGAAGATAAGAGGAGCCCTGGAAGTAAATTTCTGTTTTCTCCTGTGAGTCAGGATAGGCTTTGCTTTCCCAGAAGTGAGAGATTTCAGCTGCCAGGGACCTGTGGCACATAAAACCAGGAGAGAAGTTCAGTGAACTGACTTTGCCACTCTGCCATTGGCTTTGGAGAAAACTGACTGCAGAAAGAGTTAGGGGAATGGAGTTGGGCTGCTCTGCTTTCAGCAGCCTTCAGCACATAAATTGCTTTGTCACACGGATGGTGGCAGGCAGATGTTGCCTGGGGACCTGGACAGATGATGTGGCAATTGCAGCCTTTGTACGTGGTTAGCAAAACACCTTTTAGTGCTGCTAAAGAGAGGCACAGCAAAACAAATGAATCCCCCTCCCTGCATCCAAAACGAGTTGAATTCTCATTTAAATAAAATTGCATGGCACACTGGTATTGATGGGATCAGTATTCGTTGATTGAGTTCATAAAACCAAATGCAGGCTGTATAATGAATTGAACACGTTGCATGTGAGGGAGCTTTTTGTTTTGCTGTTTGTGAGGGAATTATCTGAAAAGAGCATCAGATCAAGGCTTCTCTCTACTTGAACCATTACATTTTTCTGCTGGAATTACTTGGCACTGGTGACCTCTTATCTGTAGTCTGTATTGTACCACTGAGGTGTTTTTTGCAAGGATGATCCACAGTTAATCTGTGAATTTAAACTGGATTAAAATGTAAATGCTAAATTAGTTGTCATTCATAGTATTCTTAGGCAGATGTGATGATTTCATGTGACCTACTTAATGTATTTGTTTGTATTTGGCTGTTTGTTCTGCGTTAGTGGTACTTTCTGTGCATTAGTAGGTCTGTTTTTCTCTTTAATTTTATAAAGAGTCTTTTTAATATATATTCATCATTAATGAACTGATAGCCAAGGCATGGATGGCTTATATGTTTGTGACATTAAAATAAAGAATATTTCAGTCAAGTACAATGTGTGTTTGGCATAATCCCTTGAAAATGTTGTAAGTACCTGCTTTTAATCAGAGAGAAGCCTTTAGGCAGTGCACGCTGGGGCTGTGTTTTCTTGAAATACTTCATTAAATAAGAGGGCTAATGAGTGGGGTGGGTAATTGTTCATAAGCTGAGCCTGTGTGGCTTCAAATTTGTCACCTGAGAAATTCAGCTGGTAATTCTGTCTGCTGCAGCGCTAAGCCATGCAGGTGCCTGTGCTGCTGAGGCACGCTCTGGGAGCTCATGCTTCTGCAAAATGCTTGACCCGTGCCACAACCCCAGAACAAATGGTATCTGAGAGGCAGGACAGCTGGCCTGTCCTGGGCAGCAGTTTTTAGTCCAAAAACGATTGGTTTTTTTTAATATCTGAGCAGCTTCTGTCAGTGTTATGTGGGCAAAGAATTCCAGGAGAGAATTTGCTAATGCAGCCCTCAGGGAATGGCATGTCTTTTCTTCAGTCTATCAGGACTTAGTGAAATATGACAACGGTACAGAGAATCAATATTGGAGGAAAAAAATGCGTGCTCAGGGGCCAAAAGACTGTATCATAATTTATACTGTAAATGCAAATCCCCTGTACAAGCACAGAATAAGAGATCAGTGCTCATTATAGGTTAGGAGGTGAGGTGGATTCAGGACAACAATAAGACAAAATCAAGGAGGTGAGAAAGGTGCCGCAGTGCCTGTAAAAGCTCCCGGGCTAAACAGCCTCCCCTTGTGTCCTGCCACCAGGTAGAAAACGAGACCAACATCCTTCAGGACGGCTCCCTGATCGACCTGTGCGGGGCCACGCTGCTGTGGCGGACGGCGGACGGGCTGCTGCACACCCCGACGCAGAAACACATCGAGGCGCTGCGGCAGGAGATCAACGCCGCCCGGCCCCAGTGCCCCGTGGGCTTCAACACCTTGGCCTTCCCCAGCATGGAGCGCAAGGATGTGGTGAAGAAGAAGGACGTGGAGGACAAGCAGCCGTGGGTCTACCTCAGCTGCGGCCACGTGCACGGCTACCACAACTGGGGCCACCGCAGCGACGCGGAAAGCAACGAGCGCGAGTGCCCCATGTGCAGAACCGTTGGGCCCTACGTGCCTCTGTGGCTGGGCTGCGAGGCCGGCTTTTACGTGGACGCCGGGCCCCCCACGCACGCTTTCACCCCCTGTGGGCACGTGTGCTCCGAGAAAACTGCCAAATATTGGTCCCAGATCCCGCTGCCCCACGGGACGCACGCCTTCCACGCCGCCTGCCCCTTCTGCGCCACGCAGCTCTCCGGGGAGAACAACTGCGTCAAGCTCATCTTTCAGGGCCCCATCGACTGAGAGAGCGCACGGCAGTGACCACAATAAAAGTTTTTTTCTTGAACGGTTTACTGTGAAGATTTTTGCCACTAATTCGAGATTTTAGCTTTTTTTATAATGTTGTTCGTAGGGGTGGGTAGGGTGGGGATGGGGGAAGCGATGAGAGGATGGAGGGACGGTGGTGGAATTGGGATACATTGATACCTGGAACTTGACAGATATCAGTGGTGTTGCATGCTCGAAAGCAGCATATTCATGGAGTCTTCTTGGTCAAATTGTAGTATATTTGTAATCTTTTTATTAGTACCCTGGATCAGAAAAAGGTGTCTTAAATGATTTTTTTAAGCTAAGATTTTTTAATGGAAAGGTTTTTTCTTCTAAACTTTGACAAGCCTTTAAAACCTATTTTTCAAATCTAGAAGGAACATACAGAATGTAACCGTCTTTAATTTGCAATATAATTTAACTTGAATAGTTTCTCAAGGAGCAAATACAGAATGTGTGGACAACCCATAGGTGAATGTTCACTAGAGATAATTGGATATGTAAGATAAAAATTAGCTGCCTAAAGTGTAGAGGATAAAAGTATTAAAATATCTATTATGGTATAACACAGCTGGCCAAAAAGGCATCAAAGATTACTTGAAACTGAGGAAATCCTGTTTGCATTGATTTCCTTTCAGTGCAGTAGATATCCACTGGCTATTAGGTATGGGAGATGGCTGATTATTTTCTGTTGGTGTTTTGTTTTTTTTCCATTTAACCCGCATCTGGTGAAACCACTTTTTTCCATACTTAGCTCTGGGGTTTAAGCTGATGTTTTGTGTGTGTGTAGCCTGGCCTTTTCATTTCTGCTTTGCTTGCCCTCAGTGCTCCTTACCCAGGGCTTCTGGGTGAGTGGAGTTCACAGATTCCCAAAATGATTTAGGTTGGAAGGGACCTTAAATTTCATCAGTTCCACTCCCTGCCATAGCAGGGACACCTTCCACTGTCCCAAGCTGTTCCAGCCTGGCCTTGGGCACTTCCAGGGATCCAGGGGCAGCCACAGCTGCTCTGGGCACCCTGATGGAGCCAGAGGCATGTCCAGGCTTCCCTGCAGTGATGAAGGGATGGTTTAGGTACAGCTGGTACAGAATTTATTTACATAAACCTGAATTCAGGAAAGCACTTAGTCTGTCTTTAAATCCAAGCCCACGCCTGGGACTGTTTAGATTCTCAAGAGCTTCAGTGCATTGCAGTTATTTGCTGTTATGTTTAGGAAAAAAAAGGCATTTTGAAATAAATTATTTTTTAAGCTCACTTTAAAGCATTTTCACTAGAAGGGAGAGCATAATTTCCAGTTCAGCTGAGCATTTTTGTTCACTTTTCAACTTGCTGCCATCTGTCACCTTTCTTTTTGCAGATTGAGTTGTGTTTGTATCTCTTTTTTCCCCCCAAATGTTTGCAAATCAAACAACATTCAAATGTAATCAAATATATGCACCAGGGTGGTACATCTGAAGTGGATCACTTGAAATTCGTGACTTTTTAAGAGAGCTGATAAATGTTTACTATGGAAATAATTAAATCAGAATTTCATATGAGGTGTACCCTGCCCACTGTTAGGCTCATTTTGTGCAGAATGATAACTCTTTGATTTGTGGTTTGTTTTTTTTTTTTTCTTTATGCTTTCTGTACTCTTGGTATCTGAGGTATCAATCTATCCAGGTTAAAAAAAAAAAAAATTGGGAGAAATCTATAACATCTCTAGATGAAATTGATCATTCAAGCTCAGTTCTGTTTAATCAACTATAGCTTTTTGCTATATTTGTGCCCTTTGTATAAATATATAATTTATATGATTTTAATATATTCTGTATATATATATACTTGAATTGGCCTGTTCATATTTTGGTTGTAAAATTGTTTTATAGTTAACCTTATAAACATTTTACATGTCCCTTGCCAATGGTGATGGGATGGACTTTGTCTGCTGCTGTTTTTAGCATAATTTTGCTGTATACGTGTTCAGCATTTTAATAATTTGAAAATAGCTTTACTTTGCTGTTTAAAAATAACTGCAGCATTTTTTTTTTCTTTTTCTAAAAGCCCCAGACTGTACAGTTTTGGTCCCACTCAGTGATTGGAAACAGGATTAACCTTTCTGCTTCTTCCTAGTGCCTTTTCAAAGAGATCCTCTTGTGATTCCATATTCCAAGTCCTCACTCCCAGCCTCGTGGCTCATCTCCACGGAGAGCAGCAGCCCCAGCCAGGTGGGGAAGAAACCCAGACACGGAGGTGCCTCTTCCTCAGCCCTAAGCCCCTGCAGCTTCCTCAGGTCCCACAGTCATTCCTGGTTAGCAGATACCTCATTTTTGGGAGAGGCAGCCTCCCTCCTCCCTCCCTGCTGGACTCACTCCTGCAGCTCCCCTGCACGTGGGGTCGTCTCCTCTGGGCCCCCAGGGACTGGAAACACCCAGGCAGCACCTCCCTCCCGCAGCTGCTTTAGTCCTTCCCTTCACTTGCAGTTAAATTGCTGCTTCAGGGCTTCACATCCCTTCTGTTCCCTGTGGAAAGTGAATGTACAGTGTTGGAAGGATCCTCACTGGAAGCACAGCACACCATCAGCCTTGGTGTGTTTGGCTTGTGTGAAGCAGAGCACTGGGTGATGGTTTGTATCCAAGGGAAGTGTCTGTTTGAAACTGTTTCAACAAGATTTTTGTTTTTTTCCTTTTGCTGTTGGCAGTTCTGTGTAACAGAAGGAATACTGCAGGAAGGAAAACTCAGAATCCCAGAATGGGCAAGGCTGGATGTGACCATGGGGGCTCTCCCTGCTCAAGAAGGGCCATCCTGGAGCCCAGGGCACAGGATTGTGTCCAGATGGCTCTGGAATATCTCCTGATCCACACCACACCCTCTCTGATCTCTGTTCAGGGCTTGCTCACTGCACAGGGAAGTTCTTCCTCACGGTCAGGTGGAACCTGTGGGCATCAGTTCCTGCTCATTCCTCTTGTCCCCAGAGCAGAGCCTGCTCCATCCTCTTGGCACCCCTTGAGATATTCATACACATTGATGGGGTCCCCTCTGTTGTCTCTTCTCAGGGCTGAGCATTCCCAGCTCCTTCAGCCTTTCCTCCTGACAGAGGCTCCACTCCCTTCATCCCCGTGGGAGGATTTGCCCTCTGCTGTTCCTGCTCCAGCAGCTCCGTGTCCCTCCTGTCCCGAGGAGCCCAGAACTGGGCACAGCACTCTGGGTGTGCCTCAGGAGGGCTGAGCAGAGGGCCAGGATTCTTTCCTGGGAAGCAATTTCCCAAGGTTTGTGTGGAATTCAGGGACTTTGCTGTAGATGTGATTTTCCTCAAACCCTGCTCTGGTGAAATGATGGAGCATTCAGCTCTTGGCCCTCACCTTCCCCAGCTCCATAAACTCCTCCTCTGCTCTGGTACCTCGATAGGAAAAAGGAGTTTGTGGATAAATAAAACTAGAGTCAGTAAACTTGAGAACCACGCTCAGGTTTATTCATTATTTCAATGTTTCTTTGCATCCCATTTCCAATGCTGGTAATGTGTTCCATAAGGATTTTTTTATCACCTGTTACTGTTGATTCTATTTGGATGCCTCAAAAGCAGCTTTGACTGCATAACTTAGAACTAAAAGTATTTTTCTAGTCTGATTTTTTTTTTTTTTTGAGGTGAGATCTGTCAAATCCATGCATGTTGGAGCTGGAACATTTCCCTTTTTCCTGGCAGCTTTTTGGGAGAGCGCTGAAGTCTAAATGAGTGATGAACACTGTTCTTACTGGGAATTGTTGTCCAGTTGTACAGGAAAGTGCACACAAGACTGTGTTTTATTCATTAATTTTTTTCAAATGTGGTAATTTTGTGCATCAAGCTACAGTCATAGTACTGTACAGGCTGAGTAATTAAAGGAGAATATTTTTTTTCCATTGTGAGGGTGGGAATGGGGATCAGAAGAGAAGAAAGCCATGGCTGAACTGGTTCCAGTAGGGACAGATCCACCTTGAAGCAAAGGAACTGCCTGGAAATGTGACTGGAGCTGTTCCTGCTTTCAGACCTCATCCATACCCTCCAAAGGATTCTCCTGAGTTTGGTAGGAAGTTCTGGGATGCTCTGGAAAGCCCATGACCTTCCCAGTGAGACACTCCTTGGTGTTTTAGTGGCAGTTCCTGGAATTGGAGGGTTTGGCTTCAGAGCCTGAGCAAGGAGCCAGAGATGCTGAGTGTGTCATAGTGAGAAACTGCAATGGAACTGTGAACAGAACTTAATTATGTTTTCGTGCTTAATTATATTTTAGGGCTGTGGTCATTCTCTGGTCATTCTCCCTTTAGTGCTCTTGCTCACCGTTTTTTCATTCTTCTAGAAGTGGAAAGAAACTTCTCCAAGAGCATCATGTTTCTGTTCCTCCATCCCACAGTCTTGAAGCTTTCCTGTGGTTGGAGAACCATTGCTAGGGGAAGAGTGATAGGCATTTAAATCCACTTTTAGCCTGCTAGGAAAACTGACCTGACTTCCTCCTCATTTCCTCAGTTTTCCACCCTTCTGTGTGTCCTTGGCTCCTCCTTTTTTATTTATCCTCACTGTTGCAGGTACACAAATAAATCCAGCTTGGAAGGAAAACAAGGGAAACACAAGCCAGGGTTGCAGTGTCTTTTTGACACATTTTTCTCATTATTCTGGGTTTTCTAAGCACTGGTCACAAGCCTGCACACTCGGTGTTGTGAGGTAAAAGGACAAAGGTAGAAGGTAAGGCTGGTTTTGGGGTGGGGGTGGAGAGGGGGTAGTGTCTAGGATGGAGTCACAGTGGCTCTGCAAACTGTGTCCCACCGAGTGCAGTGGGCACTGGATTTTGGAAGAGCAGTGGAGTGACCCTGGGCAGGCAGCAAAGACAGATCTTCACTGTCTGTGCTGCTCAGTTTTCATTTCAGAGCAAAAATAGGAGCTGCTTGGATACCCAAACAGCAGAAAAAAAACCCCAATGTCTGTCCACATTCCCTTGTTGGGGGCGTATTTATGTTTTCCTGTTCCTCCAAGTCACCTGGAGTCCCTGCTGCTGCTGTGCTGGGGTTGGGGATGGGAATGGCTCTGCCCTTGCGTTAAATCCACGCTGGAGAGCCCCTGAAGGCAGCACAGCCCTAGGAAAGCCTCTCCCACAGCGAGCCCTGTGTGATGGAGGGGTGATGTTTACCTTCAAAACCGTGCGAGCAGCTGTTCAACTTCTGGCTATGTTTGTAAAATTGGTCTTTTTATACGCCGTGTGAAATGGACTGGAATAATTTCTTTTGCTGTTGTACCTGTGGAAGTACAAGCCATTTTACAGGAGAAAAAAAAAAAAATGAAACAAATTAAAATATTATCTCAGTATTGTCATTGACTCCTTCAGTTTATTTTCCCTGCTGGTTGGTTGTCAGAGCTTGATTTGCAAAAAACCATATAAACAACTTCAAAAATAAATGGTTTCTTTTACTCTTTTATCCCCTTTCTACTCAGCAAACAAAACCTGAAGCCTTTGATTGAGGATTTTTAAGTATTGGAGGTAGTGGAGCGTATTCAGGCGTAAGTGCCCTGGAATTTCAGTTAATTCCCTTCCCTGATTTTTAAATTGAACTGTTTGTTTTCAGTGCCAGCTCCCTTCTTGCAGCGTTAAGGTAATTGCTAAATAAAAGCAATTTCCAGGAATAATATGCTTTGTGACTCCTAAAATTAATTTCCATAATGGGAATTCAGTGGTTTGTTTTCCATCTGTGTATTCTGTATCCCTTTTTTGCAGGTGGCCCCCATGAGTACCAGGAGCTTCATTTTTTAAAAGGAGCTAAAAGGAATTGTCAGCTTTTTTTGGGACATGGAAAAATTAATGTTGGTGTGAGCACAGGGAAGGGAAATAAGGATATCTGCAGTGTTTTCTAGATGTGGTCACCTGCCAGCTGACTTTTGGGCTTCCATGGAAGTCAAGAGTGCAAAATCCTTTCCAGGGAAGTGCTGCTGGGTGAGTGGGAAGCTTTTGGGGTGTCTGGGTGTAACTGTGCCCACCTCCCAGCAGAGCAGGGAACCCTTTGTCCTGTGGGATTGCTCTGCCCAGCTCCACGCCAGGACACTGGAAATGCCCTCCTGATGGCAGGGATGTGTTCCTGCTGGGTTCCTGGGCAGGAATTGTGTGCAGGGGAGCAGAGAGAGGCTCTGCTGGTTCAGAATGGTTGGGGGGTTGGAGTGAGATGATCTTGGAAGTCCTTTCCAACCCAAACCATGCCAGGATTCCAAGGCAGCCTTGGAGCAGTTCTGCTGGGACGTCCTGGGTGAGGGGGGAAGTTTCTGCTGCTCCTCAGAGGAGGGGAAGAGCCTCAAGGCAGGAGCAAAGGCTGAGAGGGAGCAACAGGCAGAGTTCAAAGCTGAGCTGCTGCTGCTGTAGCCTCAGCCTGGGGAGAGGGGTTAGGGAATCACTCATCCCATTCCACCCCTGCCATGGACAGGGACACCTTCCACCATCCCAGCCAGCTCCAAGCCCTGTCCAACCTGACTTTGGACACTTCCAGGGATCCAGGGGCAGCCACAGCTGCTCTGGGCACCCTGTGCCAGGGCTTCACCACCCTCCGAGCCAGGAATTCCCAGTTCCCAATCTCCCACCCATCCCTGCCCTCTGGCAGTGGGAGCCATTCCCTGGGTCCTGTCCCTCCATCCCTTGTCCCCAGTCCCTCTCCAGCTCTCCTGGAGCCCCTTCAGGCCCTGCCAGGGGCTCTGAGCTCTCCCTGGAGCTTCTCCTCTCCAGGTGAGCACTCCCAGCTCTCCCAGCCTGACCCCAGAGCAGCAGAAGGGTCCCAGCTCATATCCTAAAGCAGCACCTGAAAACCCCTCAGGGTCAGGACTGACCCTCTGTGAGCTGGTTATGCAGATTGTGTGGATTTTCCATCCATTCTGTCACAGGTTTGTTTTTCTAATTGAAACCTTCAGCTTTC